TTTCAAATGGCACTTAGAGGCTTTTGCATCTGAACTCTTCATATGCTTTTAATAAAATAAATATTAGTTTTTCTACTGTAAATGCCCTGTAGTGTACCGTTCCTTCTTTTTTTCTTTGTTCTAAAGTACAAACAGTTATGGTCTGGAGGGGTGCTTGTCGGCTCAAATGCCTAAATCTCTATTGAGCCTTATTCATTATTTGTCATATAGCCTATCGGACACATATGTGTATGAAAGTAAAATCTTTTAATCCTGTAATTCTATGACTCCAAGGATAGGTACCTGATAAACAAATGGAATGCGGCTCCAGTAGTATCTATAAACGATTTTTTTAAACACATTATCCTGTGATCTCAAACGGCTGTATACGTTTTGTTTTAGAATTAAAATTACATTTTAAAATCGCATAGAATTGCATTTTATAATATACATTTTTTATAATTTAATATCGTAATTTTCTTAAGACATTTAACTATTTGTCATGTATTTATGTGTATTTTTTTAAATACTGAAAATAAATGTTATATCACGTATACACATTTTCATATTCTACTTTTATCTTTAATTATTATAATTTAAATATAATAATATTTAATTATTTGTTTCAGTACATATATATATATATAAATTTTTTTTGTAATAAATACTGAAAATAAATTTCGTTTTTATATCAAAAAGAAATAATTGTATATTTAATATCATTGTAATTTAATTACTACAATTCTTATCATTTAAATACCATAATATTTAGTTATTTGTCTTAGTTAATAGGTATATGTATATAATTTAATATTGAAAAAAAAACTTTAAATTTTAAATTATTTAATTTTAAATAAAAAAATTCTAATTATATAATAAATATATAGAAATTAAATATTATAAAAATTAAACCGGACTGCTAAGCCCCGCCTACTTTTCTTTACTTTTCACTGTACAAAACTTACACACTTGCCAGTAATGATAGTGTCCAATCTTTTAATACGCGAGATTCACATTTGTCCACATATAAATGAATATAAGCAATCTGAAATAATTACACAAAACAACGCTCACTAGAGCAGAGAGCAGATCCGCTGGATGACCGGAGGAGGTGGACATTCGGCTGTCATCACTGGTTAGATGGCCTATAACACTACTAAAATAACAGATATTCGTGCAAACACTCTGAAAGAACACGTCCTTGGGATTTGTGAAATAATCCTGAAACGGTTTCTGTAATTGTTGACCTTTCATTTATGGAACAATGCTAGTGGACAAGTTGAAGTATTACAACAACATTTCTCCACCCAGAATCAGATGACCTGCTGATGTGTGGACAGAACCACAAAGGTCAGTAAGGGTGTCATAACCTTTCAACTCTGCCCTTTGCCTGGGTATACAAGAGTTCAGCAGGTGTCCTGTGGTTGGGACTTCTCTGTTATCTTGACTGGTGAGTGATGGTCTTCAGATTCATATTCTGGACTCTGTGATAGATTATTGAGAGCCTTTTGCAGACATCAGTTATTTTTGAGTGGTTTGGTTTAGAGTTTGCTCTATGGAAACTTCTAATGGTAACAACTGATATCTGATCTGTGTCTGTCAGGTGACGACGGTCAGGTCTTGGAGTGCGGCTCCAATGCGTTTGGACAGCTGGGCATCTCGCCAAGAATAACACACTCAGCAGAACTTTTACACGTGAAGGTGAGAACTGAGAATAAATGAGACTCTTGCATAATAGTTGTAAGTGTGAGGTTTGTAATAATATCATGCTTTGTTCTGCTTGCAGACCCTGAATGAGCCGGTAACTAGTGTGGCTGCAGGGCTTAGACACACATTAGCAAGTACAGGTATTAAATATCAATAAGTAAAATAAATACCAGAATGCATAACATTTGTTTTAGGTTATTTTTATAATTAACATGACATTTTTCTTATTATTAGTGTGTTTATAAAATATTGAGAGTAAATATAGATTTTTGTATCACATATAAGAACTTTTATATTTAATAGTATAATTTTATTATTAAAATAATGATAATTTCAATATCACAATATTTAAATATTTGTCTTTGTAGGTGTATATATGTATATTTGTTTTGAATATTGAAAATAAAGATTTTTAAATCGAATATAAGAAATCATTTTACATTTAACAGTATAATTTTAGAATTTTATAGAGTATCTATCTATCTATCTATCTATCTATCTATCTATCTAAGTATAATTATAATAATAGTAAATTATTTTTATTTATTATTCTAATTGGATATTAAATGTATTTTAATGTTATTGTTTAGATATTGAAAACATATATCAAATATAAAAATGTTCTATTGTATATTCAATATATTGTAATTAGATAATAATTTGATTTTAATATTACAATTGAATATTTTAATAACATTTAATTACGTGTACACATTACACATATGTAAAACAGAATAGAATAGAAGAATGTTTATATCATTTATTTTTTAGAATATTTATTTGTCTTAATATATATGCGTATATTTATTTTCAATATTGAAAATAAATCTAGGTTTATATCAAGAATAATGAAATCATTTTATATTACTATTGATTCATAATTGTTATTGTAATTATTATGATTTAAATATAATGACCTTTAATTATGTGTCTTATTTATTATATAGGTATATTGGGTTTAAATATTGAAAAAAATATCTTTAAAATATTAAACATATTTTTAACATTTTAAATACGTTTTAATATTATACTTTGCTTTAAATATTAAAGATATAATTGTAAAAGAAAAATGAATTCCAATACTATAATTAGATAATGTATTTGTAATAGTATAATTGAGCATTAAATGATTTTGTATGTATGTGTGCGTGTCTAAAGCATCAGGTTGTGTTTATCAATGGGGAACTGGCCTGTCGAGTCACGCTAAGAGAATGTTAAATCCTCAACCTTTTCCTGCACATCTATCCTCTAAGGAGCCTTGCATTGTCACGGGTAACATTCACACACAGTTGTTCTCAAACCTAAATCAACCTCACATTAGGATATATGTAATCTTATAAAAATGAGTTACTGTTTATTGGTTTACCTTATTAATGTCTGTTAAATGAGAAGAAATGTATTTAATTTAGTAGTTATTTATAGCACTTGTGCTGACGTGACCTCACAGAAGGTTGTTGCAGGCTCCACCCACTGCATTTGTTTGACAGGTGAAAGTACTTTTCAAACTGATTTTGTCTTCTACCTCTGAATGGTAAGGATAGAGACAGAGGATCTTGAAGTTTCACCGAAGCATTTGAATCCCATATTTCTACAGTCAAAGGTGACAAGTTCCTCTGGGGAAGTAATAAACATGGTCAGCTGGTCAGCGAGAGCCTTTTCCTGTGACTTTGGATCGATCTCTGCTGCAGGGTGAGAGAGAGATTGACGTTCACAGCGGCTGGACGCATCTTGTCTCAATAACAGGTGAGTGATACTACACACTGTCTCACACAAATCTTTCATAAAGCTTTTTTTCTGGTGATACGGTTGACAATATATTATCTATTCACAGAGAGTGGGCGGGTCTTTACATGGGGCAGAGCTAATTACGGACAGCTAGGACAGACCAATCTGAGTACAGAAAAAGAGTCTGACATTGTAACAAGCTCTGGCCAAAGTACAAGCCACCCCATCGAGGTTAAAGCTTTATTTGGAGCAACACAGGTATGTGTTATGTATATAAA